TGCCTGGGAGCCAAAAATTCTGTAATGTCTTGTCAGGAGGTGACAGTGTATCTGTTTGTCCAGCCGACTCCATAGAGTGAAGTTGTCTGAGCCATTGGCTGGTTGTGTTAGTTAAAGCTTTAGTGACTTCAGAACCAGAGAAACCTGTTTTCCAGGACATTGTTCACAAAGACCAGTCTGTTTTGCAATTTCGCAGTAGCTAGTTTAAGAACACCTCCTAGGACTTTGTAAGTCAGGTTCATATATTTCAGATAATGTGTGATTTTAACCATTTCTGATGCTTTTCCAAAAGATTGTTACTCTTTCCTAAAGTCTGGAATTCTGTTTTTACTGACATATTCTGAAGCTTACAAGTGCATCCAAATTTGGTACCCTTCAGCATTTTCCTGTTTTTCTGTCTGCATTTTTGAAAACGTACAGGATGTACTTGATTCTTGCACTAGCTTTTATGAGCGTACAAATAGGACTTGAGACATGTTTTTCATGATTGCTTCCCAATACTGTTCTAAGACCAATACATCATTTTGTCATTTCTTAATAATATAATAATAGACCTGCTCATTAAGGAGTAACTTTCTGAAAAACATGTCCGACCAGATCCCCCTCAGCCTTGGCCAGTTCCTTTGGTATGGTGCTGTCCGTGACCCTGTCACTGAGTGTCATTGAGAACAGAGGCCTGGCCTTGGTGAGCCCTTAGATTGTGATAAAGGCCCTGAGGAATGTTTTGGCTTTTAGGCAACTTCAGTTCTGTGTTTTTCCCACTGCCTGTTGATAGAGCGGCTTTTTCTTTCTGTCAGTCTGAGGGGTTCTGTTAGTGCCTGGGCTCTCTAATCAGACCGCTGTGAACTCCAGTTTCAGCTCTGCTGCTTGCCTGTGTTTAACCACCCCAAGCCTTGCTGTCCTTGTTTGTACAGTGGGGATGTTACTACATGATTCACAGTTTTATTGTGACCATTAGAAGTAGTGTACATAATGTGCCCAGTATAGTGCCTTGGCAGAGGTAATAAGTGAGCTGTCAAAAAATATGTAGTGCTCTGTGTTGTGGTTCATTTTGATTTTAATCTGAATCTGCCACAGTACTTTACTTTAAAAAATTATTTTTATCTATTTCTATTAGAGGCAGGGTCTCACTGTGTTGCCCAGGCTGGCGTGCAGTGGCACAGTCATAGCTCATTGCAGCTTTGAACCCCTGTCTGATCCTCCA